GTGAAGGGAATGTGATGATGTGGGATATTTTAATTCCAAAGGCCAAGGGAACTTTATCAGGAATGCATTATCCTGGATCCATGAAATAACTGGCCTTTAAAAATAAAAATCTGCCTGACTCTATGGGAATTTAACATAGGGGGGGGCCTGACTTATGCACCCTGTATTTTAAGGAAGAACATTTATTTATTTATGATACATTATTCATACACAAAGAAAATTGGTGTCCTTAAAGGTTGGATTTTTCCTCATTTTTCTGATTAAGGCATTAAGATCAATTTCCAAAAGATGATTTTTTATTCCTCTTTTTAGGCAACTTTAGCAAGGGGGTAATAACTTATTCACACCACTGTAACTCACAGAATGTAAAGATAGTGTCAGACATTTTTCTGTAGAAGCTAAGCTAACAGGCTCTTGCCTCTTGGTCTGTGTAGAAAGTTTGTATAGTAGGCTAATCACGATGGCGGAAGGTAGTTTTGAAGTTGAAATGGCAGAAGGGGATTTCGAAGATCTGTTGCGAGAATCTGATGCTCGCGGCTACCTGTACGAGCCGCAATACAGCGATGAACAGTTGCGGGAGATGGAGGAACAAGAGGCGGCCGGAGCGAGACCTGAGCCCGGCCAGACTCGAGCTGGGGCGGACTGGCGGTGTCAGTGCTCTCGCTTTGCGCCTATGGAAACAGATATAGAGTGCTATTGCTGTCGCGAATCTCAGCGATGCCATTTTCTTCTGGACGAGATCGCTGAATCCGCAGAGCTTTGAGTGTAAAAGTGTTAATATTCATAATTTTTTTAATTAAAAGGTATAACTCACATTGGTTGTGGTTCTTTTTATAAACCTTTAGTGTTACTAGAGTATGGATTAGCCTAGATAATGTATTAGCTTAGAGAAATAGTGATTTCAATTGGAGGAAAATGCAGAGCTACTAAGCTACTCTGTTGACATGGTCCTGCCTTGCATCATATTTTTAATGTGAAAGTCTAAGTTGTGTTATATACATTAGGCTAGTACATCCCGGTACAACACAATTTAGCACCATTTCGATGGAAATTTATCAAATAACTCACGATGTATCAAAGCAAGCCTGGTTGTATCCATTTTAAGGATTCTGCCGCCTGTAACCGGTAGGCGTGGTTTGCGAGTGGCCTCATAAGGGCAGCAAAGCAAGTGCATTCTGGGAGTTGTTGTCTTTCAGCCACATGAATAAAAAAAACATTTTCTGCCTTTTCTCAGTCTAGAATGCTTCAATTTCAAAAATAATTTCACATTTCTACTATATAAATGACCAATATTAAATACACATTCATCTTCCCAGAGATGAAGTGTCCCTTTAAGGTACGGAGCTGTCTGAAATACTGCCAGTGTGACATTAAATAGGAAGTGTTTGTCCGAGCTCACAAAAGGTTTTGCGAGAGAACTCAAAAGTTTTGCCAGAGAACGCAAATATCTTTGCGAGAGAACGCAAATATCTCTGTGAAATTCTCCCATCCCAAATTTTCCTATAGGTGCTCCATAGTACGATATGTGATTTTGGGTCCATTGAGGTGATGTTCTGGAAATGTATTTGATTATATGATCACTTCATGTTCTCTTAAAAATAAAGGTTCCAAAACAAGGTTTTCGCTGTGATGCCATAGAAGAACCATTTTTGGTTCCCCAAAGAGCCTTTCAGTGAACCGTTCTTAAAATAACCTTTTTTTGTGTGTGTAAAGAACATTTAATATTCATAATCTAAAGAACCTTTTTCCACTGTAAAGAACCTTTGGTTCACAGGAAAGGTTCCATGGATAAAGAGTGTACAAATATATTCTTTTCAATTTAGAATCTTGATGTTGATAAAAAAAATCCATGTAATATACTGTTTAGCATGGTACTGAATGATTTACAATTGTGTTTACATGGCACTCCAAGAATACCGTGGTATATGTCCAAAAAACGGGTAGTACCATGATACTTTTTTGTTATTTTGTGTGCTAATCCCTACATATGAACACTGAGATGGAGCTTTATTTTAGTCCAGATTAGGGAACATCAGTCGTGCTGGTGGTTCTCTGAAAACAGTGAGAGGTTGATAATCACACAGAGTCATGTGCGCTGAGTTAAGTCTCTGTTTGTAGGAAGCTTAACATCTCTTTTCAGATTGTATTTGGTTGATGACACAGTCATGAGACGACCATTTTAACATTTGACACAACTGACACTTTATATATCATTTCTGAAAGTTAGTCAATGAAATGTTATTATATAGAGCTTATACTATTTGACCTGTTTAGTTTGTAGTCAGAAAGAGAATGAGCAATTACGAGCTATAAACACTCTGGAATTTCTCGTAGCACTTTTCGATTAATGAATAAAATAAGGTCTGTGGTAAAATCTGATTTTCAATACTTCTGTTCTATGACTCAACTGGTCTCCATGTGTTTGTTCAACGTGGTGCAGATGTGTTGGATCTCTATGTAGAGTTGAGAGATTGATGTGTTTATGTTCAATTCTCTGAAGAAAAGCAGCTGAATTAAGAATGGTTAAAGGGATAGTTCACTTTGAAACTAATTTTTGATATGTTTTAGCTTACCTCAAGGGCATCCAAGATGAAGGTATCTTTGTTTCCGCAGTAGTTTCAATTGTGATATTTTTAGGTCAAACCGTTCTTGTCTGTCAGTCATATAATGCAGTCCTATGGGGTCCACCTCAAAGAGTATGCACAGAGAAGTCCAAATTAAACATGATTTAATTACTCGTAAAGGTAAGTACACATTGATGGCCTAAGACACGAAACGAGCGGTTTGTGTGTGAAAACGAACAGTATTTATATCGTTTTTACCTCTTGTAACCACAGCCACGCGGTCTGTGCGTTAGGAGGTAAAAACGATATAAATACTGTTCGTTTTCTCACACAAACCGCATGCATTATATGACTGACAGACAAGAACGGTTTGACCTAAAAAGATCAAAATTGAAACTACTGCGGAAACAAAGACACCTACATCTTGGATGCCCTTGAGGTAGCTAAAACATATCAAAAATTAATTTCAAAGTGAACTATCCCTTTAAAGGTGCCCTAGAATGTTTTTTATTTATTATTTTATAATGTTTCCTGGGTTACCCTTATAATGTTAGTATGTTTTTTAGATAAAAAATAATCATAATTTAGAAATAAATGGCATTTTTCCTAGCCTGCTTTTAGCCTCTGATTTGAACACTCTGTTTGAAGGGGCGTGTCTGCTGTGGGATTCAGTGTAACCGCGGCCACTGCTGTGATTGGCTGACATGCTTGCATATGAAATAGCAACGCATTACATGTGAAACTCTCTCCCGAATACTTTTACTACTGCTATTATACGTTTTTGCTATAACAGCTATCGAGATTAACGAATCGTGAGATGTTTTTAAAGTATTTAGATCTATTCCCATCACATAAAATGTTGCCGTGATGAGCATTGAGCAGATGACTGTGTGCTGATCGCGAGAATGAAGATCTTATCATTGCAAAGCAGTTTCTGCACTCTCTCTGCTTTCACCAATGCAAACACGATGATGTAAATACAATAAGAGCTTCGTTGTGCAGTAACGTGCGTCATTGATTTCATAACGAGTTTGGCAAGTGTCCAGATAAACTCGCGCTGTGTGGAAAGATTGTTCTTTGATCGCTTTCTGTATATAATTTGTTCACAAATTAAATACGATTATTTTCATCCTACTAAAAGAAACGATGTGAAGCTGATATTTTAGTCACTGGCTTGACTTACTGATGCATAAACAGTATTGAACGATTTTGAGAGAAAGATTACCTGTCTGAACTTGAACAATTACTCATCAGAAAGTGTTGCTTGGTAGCTCGATCCGAGGCCAGCTCTGTATTGGCCCAAGTTGAGGAAACACTCGGTGAAATGTTTGGAAATTTCCAGAGAAAATAAAATTAACCCATTGTTTCTTCAGAGGCCAAGATGAAGGAACTAAAAAATACTTTTGTGTTCATGTGTACATCCACACTGAGCAACTGCCATGCTTCGGCTGCGCAGTTCCGCCTGGCATTGAGGGCTGGCATTATGCAAATATTTGGAGATTAATGATCCCGACTATTGCGTCACAGTCGGTATTGTGTGGAGAACCGACCGTTTTTCAGGGGTGTTTTTCATAAACGTGAATTACATGAGAACGCGAAAACAGTCCAGTTTGAGATTCACTCTATGTCATGTCCATGCACTGAACTCTTGTTATTTGACTATACCAAGGTAAATTCGATTTTGAACTATAGGTCACCTTTAATTCCGATAGATGCAGCTATGATAGTTAAACACAAGTTTGCCATGTCTCTCTGCTATGAGAATGCAAATTGCATAGTCGTTCGTTGCATAGTCCATAGTGTTTTTTTCCTAATATGGAAGTCAATGGCTAGCGTCAACTGTCTGGTTACCAACATTCTTTCAAATATCTTCTTTTGTGTTCAACAGAAGAAAGGAACTCTTACAGGTTTGGAACAACATGAGGGTGAATAAATGATGACAGATCGGCAATCAGACTTCACTGGTCATGCTGAATGTTTTGATTCACTTAAAAGAACCAGCTCGTAAGAGTCATTAGCTCTAATGACGCGAATCAGACTTTACTGGTCATGCTGTATGTTTTGCACTGAATAGCAGGCAACACATTAAACTCAATCGCTTACAGTATTTTTTTTATGGAACGGATTCTGAATAAGAATCAGTTTCGGTGCATCTGAAAGTTCAGGTCATTTGATTTGGACGAATTAAATGAGAAATTGTTGGGTTCAAACTGACTTTAGTATATCTGCATGTGCACATATACAAGATAATGTTGAGATCTCTTCTGAGACACTTTTTTCTAACCAGAAAAATGAGAAGCAGAAGACTAAAAAGTCACCATTTATCATGCAATTGAGGCGCTATTGAGATATTAAAGAGAGCAGTTTTAGTTTTTATTCTGTGGGATCTTCCTTCAATTCTGACTGTTTCTTTTCCGTTTTTGACAATCTGCCTAGGTTCTGCTATTCCAGTGGGCATCGATGTGCAGGTGGAGAGCATTGACAGCATTTCAGAGGTCAATATGGTATGTGTCTGCTCTTTTATAAATTACTTTTAACCTTTAACCTGTTGGTGGGCTCTGCACACCCTCAACTCCTATTGCCAGTCATACATCAAGCTTAAATCCTCGACAATTTAAACAGATTAGATTCACAACTGAGGCAGAGGGCAAATGTCAAAACCATCACGCACGCAACAAAGACTATGAACCTCCAGAATAGCATGCTAAATCCATAGACATGTTCATTTGGGGTACATATCCTGATGTACTCAAGTCAACACCTGTTTTTAAAATCTAAGCCATTTTTCTAAAAACGAATTACTCGAGTGCCTTGGATTGTTACAACCCGTGCAGCACTTCTTGCATTCCTTGTATTTATGTACTCAAGTTTTAATTTAATTTTACTTTATTTTATTTTTCCTAAGTGGCAAATAGCACATAGGAAGTATGAGAATTATGTAATGAAAACAAATGCTTGGCAACAGGCATAATCATATATACACAGTGGCATTCAACGTATAAAAGAGTGGCTTATGCTAACTGACACAATCCCTTTTTCATGTCTTTTGTGGGCATAGGACTTTACCATGACCTTGTACCTTAGACATTACTGGCAGGACGACAGACTGGCCTTCCCCTCCAGCAATAACAAAAGCCGAACATTTGATGCTCGGCTGGTGAAAAAGATCTGGGTGCCAGACGTCTTTTTTGTTCACTCCAAGCGTTCTTTCATTCATGACACCACCATGGAAAACATCATGCTCAGAGTCTATCCAGATGGAAACATTCTTTACAGCGTCAGGTAACACTTGAAGCCACTTCCCTGAAACCAGATGTTTTCACAAGAACTGTGAAAGTAGCGATTGCCCTGAGTCATTTCCCTGTGTTTACAGAGTTCACAAGAAAGAAAATAAGATGCGTTCAGCTCTTTACTTTGAAGTCAATTTTAGAGCTAAAGATAGTTTATCCAAATATGAAAAAACTGTTATCATTAAATTACCCTCATGTCATTCCAAACTTGCAAGGCTTTATTTTTTCTGGTGAACACATATTTTGAAGAATTTCTCTCAGGTCTTTTCTGTACTACAACAGTTCATAGTAACTTCAGCTTTAAAAAGGATAAGAACAAAGTCTTCTGAAGTCATACAAGAGCTTTGTGTAAGAAATACAGGTCCTTCTCAAAAAATTAGCATATTGTGATAAAGTTCATTATTTTCCATAATGTAATGATAAAAATTAAACTTTCATATATTTTAGATTCATTGCACACCAACTGAAATATTTCAGGTCTTTTATTGTTTTAATACTGATGATTTTGGCATACAGCTCATGAAAACCCCAAATTCCTGTCTCAAAAAAATTTGCATATTTCATCCCACCATAAAAGAAGTGTTTTTAATACAAAAAAAAAAAAAAGTCAACCTTCAAATAATTGTTCAGTTATGCACTCAATAGTCAATACTTGGTCGGGAATCCTTTTGCAGAAATGACTGCTTCAATGCGGCGTGGCATGGAAACAATCAGCCTGTGGCACTGCTGAGGTGTTATGGAGGCCCAGGATGCTTCGATAGCGGCCTTAAGCTCATCCAGAGTGTTGGGTCTTGCGTCTCTCAACTTTCTCTTCACAATATCCCACAGATTCTCTATGGGGTTTAGGTCAGGAGAGTTGGCAGGCCAATTGAGCACAGTAATACCATGGTCAGGAAACCATTTACCAGTGGTTTTGGCACTGTGAGCAGGTGCCAGGTCGTGCTGAAAAATGAAATCTTCATCTCCATAAAGCTTTTCAGCAGATGGAAGCATGAAGTGCTCCAAAATCTCCTGATAGCTAGCTGCATTGACCCTGCCCTTGATAAAACACAGTGCACCAACACCAGCAGCTGACATGGCACCCCAGACCATCACTGACTGTTGGTACTTGACACTGGACTTCAGGCATTTTGGCATTTCCTTCTCCCAAGTCTTCCTCCAGACTCTGGCACCTTGATTTCCGAATGACATGCAAAACTGAGCAACAGTCCAGTGCTGCTTCTCTGTAGCCCAGGTCAGGCGCTTCTGCCGCTGTTTCTGGTTCAAAAGTGGCTTGACCTGGGGAATGCGGCACCTGTAGCCCATTTCCTGCACACGCCTGTGCACGGTGGCTCTGGATGTTTCTACTCCAGACTCAGTCCACTGCTTCCGCAGGTCCCCCAAGCTCTGGAATCGGTCCTTCTCCACAATCTTCCTCAGGGTCCGGTCACCTCTTCTCGTTGTGCAGCGTTTTTTGCCACACTTTTTCCTTCCCACAGACTTCCCACTGAGGTGCCTTGATACAGCACTCTGGGAACAGCCTATATGTTCAGAAATTTCTTTATGTCTTACCCTCTTGCTTGAGGGTGTCAATGATGGCCTTCTGGACAGCAGTCAGGTCGGCAGTCTTTGATTGCGGTTTTGAGTAATGAAACAGGCTGGGAGTTTTTAAAAGCCTTAGGAATCGTTTGCAGGTGTTTAGAGTTAATTAGTTGATTCAGATGATTAGGTTAATAGCTCGTTTAGAGGCCCTTTTCATGATATGCTAATTTGTTGAGATTTTTGAAATTTTGGTTTTTCATGAGCTGTATGCCCAAATCATCAGTATTAAAACAATAAAAGACCTGAAATATTTCAGTTGGTGTGCAATGAATCTAAAATATATGAAAGTTTAATTTTTATCATTACATTATGGAAAATAATTAACTTTATCACAATATGCTAATTTTTTTAGAAGGACCTGTATACTGCGATCTCAGTAATTATTCAGTCATAATCTTCCCCTTCAGTGAGCTTTTAACTTGAGAACTGCAGTCAGTGAGAACTCAAGATCTGATTCATTAAAAAAAAATGTTTAGCTGAATGATTTGTTCAGTGAGTTGAACTCAAGATTCAGATCATTCTGATTCATGACTGTTCTTTTGAACCGGTTCCCAGCGAGCAAACAGTCGTCTATAATACGTCTAAAAGACGTAATTGTTAGACATCCAGAAGACGTCCTCACAGGAGCCAGAATGAAAGTTTTTTATACGTCTTTTCAGGACGTTGTTTAGACGTCAATTAAAGACGTGCTACAGACGTAATTTTTAAACATCCAGAAGACGTCCTCACAGGAGCCAGAATGAAAGTTTTTTATACGTCTTTTCTGGACGTTGTTTAGACGTAAATTAAAGACGTGCTACAGACGTAATTGTTAGACATCCAGAAGACGTCCTCACAGGAGCCAGAATGAAAGTTTTTTATACGTCTTTTCTGGACGTTGTTTAGACGTCAATTAAAGACGTGCTACAGACGTAATTTTTAAACATCCAGAAGACGTCCTCACAGGAGCCAGAATGAAAGTTTTTTATACGTCTTTTCTGGACATTGTATAGACGTAAATTAAAGACTTGCTACAGACGTAATTGTTAGACATCCAGAAGACGTCTTCACAGGAGCCAGAATGAAAGGTTTTTATACGTCTTTTCTGGACGTTGTTTAGACGTAAATTAAAGACGTGCTACAGACGTAATTGTTAGACATCCAGAAGACGTCTTTACAGGAGCCAGAATGAAAGTTTTTTATACGTCTTTTCTGGACATTGTATAGACGTAAATTAAAGACGTGCTACAGACGTAATTGTTAGACATCCAGAAGACGTCTTTACAGGAGCCAGAATGAAAGTTTTTTATACGTCTTTTCTGGACATTGTATAGACGTAAATTAAAGACGTGCTACAGACGTAATTGTTAGACATCCAGAAGACGTCTTCACAGGAGCCAGAATGAAAGGTTTTTATACGTCTTTTCTGGACGTTGTTTAGACGTAAATTAAAGACGTGCTACAGACGTAATTGTTAGACATCCAGAAGACGTCTTCACAGGAGCCAGAATGAACGTTTTTTATAAAAAAAATTTGGACATTGTTTAGACGTCAATTAAAGACATGCTACAGACGTAATTGTTAGACATCTAAAGGCAGCCAGAATAAAAGTTGTATTAGTCACGTTTTCTGTAGTATAAATGTCAAAGAAGACTGTTAAAGACCCATATTGAAACGGAAATCCCATTTGTGCATTTTGCAAGGATCCAACTTTAAAAAATCTTTACTTCAAAACAGTGGCAGTGAGTTAGTTCTCACTGAGAAAAACCCAGTTACAGATTGTTAATGGTTGTCGTGTCATGAAACTGCAGACACACAGACCATAGACCTAAATAAGATTTGAAAGAATTTTGATAATATTGAATACTCAATTGAATACGGGAACTGTGTAGTGTATATACAAGTCTTGCATTTGTATATCTTATCAATATAATTGTAATAAACTGCTTACCATTTGCCTGTAAACCAAACTGATCACTCCAAGAAATCAACTATTTAAATCTCAAAATATATATTTTATTACTATTTTGTTCTACTGGACCAAAACTTAAAAGCCAGAACAGTAAAGTTATAAATTAACACAATTTCCCTTTAAATAATCTATAAAATGTTGTTAAAACAGTATAACATATCAATTAACAAAATGTGGCTGCTATAAGCTTCACAAGCTTCATTTATAGCGGCAAGCCCCGACTCTCCCGGGGGCATGTTTCAGATGATCGGCTGCAGACTTTATTTGGGCCTCTGTTGCAGCTGGGTCCCATTTCATGACAGCAGCTACAATCAAAGCAAAAAAATACACATGTAAAATAAATAAATACAAACGCCACTGTTGTGGTTTAGCTTGCAGCAGAGATGCATAGAAAATTTTAGTACTCGAATCAATGAAATGAAACAGTTATTAAATCACAAATCAAGTAAAATTACATCAAGCCTGATATAAAGCATTCCACACACACATACATATATATATACACACACACACATATACATATATATTTTCGTATTCGTATTGAACCGTTCGGTACGAGGCTTTCGGTTCAGTGTGCATTACAAACCGAACGGTTTGTTGGACTATTTTTCCTGCTGACCAAAATTTCGTTATTTAAAATGTAGGGGCGTGGCAAGCGTGCTCATAATGTAAGAGATGCTGCCGCGACCACAACATTGCCCAACATCAAATAGCAAACGTAATGTAAGCGGAACGAAACTGCAGCTGCGCTACTCGTTATTGTGTGGTTGACGGATCGTTTATCAGTTTGGACCAATCCAGCGTCTTGATCAAGCGACACTGTTACTACACAGCACTAAGAGATCCAGTAAAGAAAGCAGTTGAATTTGCCACTGAAGTAATAATATCGCAGCGAGATCTAGTGAGAAACATTCACATTTCTCCGTTATTAACGGATCAAACAGCGCTGACGTGGAAAACAGGAATAAACATTGTGCCATGAATGAACTATCCAGTGCCCACAGATCAGCAACATTCACCATGGATTTACTGTAGTAACACTACTAACTGTAACCATGGAAGTTTGGCAGGAATAGTAGGCTATAATGCTTTCAAGTAACGTTACGTCGGTTTTATTTCGACATTATGAATAAAATTGCTGCCCTCAAATGTTAATCTGAAATAAAATAAACCTTTGTTTATAACTACTACAATATTACAATTAATTTTTTTCAAGGAGCAAGGAGCTGTTTTTGTTTTATATGCTCCTAAGAAGAGTCAAGTGTAGCTCCATCACTGCTCAAAGTAAAAAATTATCATACTTTGATGAAAAATTATTAAAAAAATTAAATCAAGGAAATTTCTCTGGCTTTTCTTTCTTTTTGCTGTATCAAAAACGTACCGAACCGTGAATTTTGTGAACCGTCACACCCCTAACATATATATTTATTTACATTTGAATAGTTATCAAAGACCTGTTT